CAAGGGAAATACTCGGTTGTAAGCCAATCGCAGATAAGACTACATCTGCAACCAAAGACTGACCATTGGCCAAGGTCACAACATAGTCACCATTTTCAATTTTAGAAACTTTTTCAACTGTGGTGCCAAGGACAAAATGAATACCCGTTGCTTCAAGGTTTTCTTTAAAGGCACTTGAAACATGCGCTGGCAATAAACGGCCCAAAGGCTGGTTTGCCAAGTCGATGACGGTAGCTTGATGGCCTGTATGTTGTAAATCATTGGCAAATTCGCAGCCGATGAGACCTGCACCTAAAATGACTACACGTTTATCTGCACGCTTTTCAAGTTCTGCACGGAAGGTTTTATAGTCGTCTAGATTGTTTACAACTTGAATGTCATTGCTTCCATCACCTGCAATGGCTAAGCGAATTGGGTTTGCACCTACCGCTAAAACCAATTGAGAGTAGGGCTGTGTAGATTCAGCGCCATCTTTAACAAGAGTTAACTGCTGTTGTTCAGCATGAATCTCTTTCACCCAAGTATGCGTGGCAATCTGCATTTTCAGTTGTGTTGCCATTTTCTCTGCATCACCCAAAGCAATTTGTTCAGGCGCTTTGTTGGCAACAAAGGCATTGGACAACGTTGGTTTGGCATAATTAGTCGCATCATCTGCACATAGCATAAGCAGCTCTTGTTCAGGGTTCAGCTTGCGAAATTCACGTGCTACAGCATAGCCTGCCATACCTGAGCCAATGATGACGATGGGATGCATAAGGTTCTCCAGAGATTATTTTAAAGACGTAAAAAAAGACCATGCTGCATGGTCTTTAACACTATGAATTAGATTTCAACCATTTCAAAATCGATTTTTGACACGCCACAATCTGGGCAAGTCCAATCGTCAGGGATATCGTCCCATTTTGTTCCCGCCACGATGCCATCTTGTGGCCAACCTTCTGCTTCGTCATAAATCCATCCACAAACGATGCATTGATACTTCTTCATTTGACTCTCCAAAACGCTGAACAAGAAAGGGTTCAGCAAAATAATCCATTACGCAAGCTGCTATTCATCTGAGTTGTTAGCATACTTCGCTAATCTAAATTTTTACGCAGTTCTAATACGAATGTAAAGTAAATATCGGAGTTTAATGATTGAATCTATCTGCTAAAAGCGATGATCAGGACAAAACGTATCATTTAAAACCAGATCGTGTTTTGCAAAAGTGTGAAAGATATAGATGATTGCAAGTCAAAAAGATGTGTCTTTTGAATCAGCTGGTCTTTTAAAATCCTTAAAAATATAGACTATGGTCGT